AGGAGGCTGGGGCCTGGCACTCCCCTCCGCTTCTCTTTCCGGGGCGCCCGGTGCCGACGCGCGCCGCGCTTTCCCCGGGAAATGGCGGCCCCTGCACGGCTCGCTTGGGGCAGTCCCGGGTTCCCGCTTTGCGCGGGAAAAAATAATAATAAGGAAAGGAGGAATGAAAGTAAAGTGGTTGCGACGCAAGTTAAGGCTGCGCCGGGCGCCAGTCGTGGTGCTAATCGTGTGTGGGGCGCGGCGGGCGGGGACCGGCCCTGCCTCCCGGGGCTCTCAGCCCGCTCTCGAGGAGCACCCTAGTTACAGCCTAAATCGCGCCCGTGCGTGTCTTTCCCCACCTTTCCTCGTGGGGGCGCCCTCCGATCCTGCCCTCTTTGTTCCACACAACAATGGCCAAGAGGGAATTGAGCCCACGAAGGGCCAAATGCGCCTCCTCTAGGGGTTTCCAGTCTCTGAAATGGGCCGCCGCAGGTTTGACTTAGGCCCGGTTACTGCTAATAAGAGGGGAGAGAAGAAATGGGTTGAGAAACCAAAGCACGGGTCCATATGTGTTTGAGGTGGTGCAGTGAGAACCACGGCCCTATGGTAAAAGGCACTTTCTGTATTTCAGCAGCGCTGGTGAACCGAGATATCAGTCCAGCCTCGGCCAACCCAGGGGAATTCAAAACAGGGCCCAGGTCTAAGAGTCCCAGACCTCAGGAGCCCATCCCCCTAAAGGCAGTCAATCCACCATAGCAAATGGTTTCCTCGCTTTTCTCATTTGTGTTTGTGTCGAAATAAAATTGTACCCTCGCAGGGCTGCACAGTTGCTACTGAAACAGTTCAATCCGTTAAAGAAATAGAAACATTCTTAAGAGCGGAAATGTGCCTTCGTTTATGTTGTTTCTTATCTAGGACCAGTTCCTTTGTGAAACACACTAAGCTACACATAATTCTCAATGCGTTCATTCTTAACTGGAAGTTATCTCTTACCCCTTTGGAAAACTTATTTTCAAGTAAATGTTCAGAGTGCCAAGATTTGGAATGCTAAAATTATCATGTCAATAAATAAAGGCACCGCCTCGGGGGGAAAAGTTTCTCTTGAATTGTGTAATTCACACCTTTAAAACCTCTTTCCTGTATCTAAATTTCTTTTAAAAACATGCCCAGTTCGCCACTCGAGTTTTCCCTACCCTGTCACAGTTCCTCCTCACCTGGTTCCATTTATTGCCATGTTTCAGACATTATTAATGGTTTCCTCTATGTCAAAACTCTACAAAAGAATTTACCTCCATGGATCCAGAATGTTCCAAAGATCCTGACCTTACTCCCTCACCATTCTATCTTCTATCTAGTTCCCAGGGATTCTGAGGCGCCTTTAGTCTGCTCTTTCCCAGTGGGTGGTACACCCTGCTAGCTATTGTCTGAGACAACCAGGTCTGTTTTCACTGCCTCCTGCCAGCAAAGCAGGAGGGAATCCTGTCTTAGGCAACTTTAAATGAAAGATATCTGTAACTTGGTCAGGGGGAGTGATGTGCAAAAATTCAACCAACTTTCTTAAGAATGTTTTTCATTCTTAAGAAATAACCTCAAAGTTAGATACAATCTTGGTAAATGCTTTTGAAGTGTGTTTTGCAGAGATTAATTAGCAGAGAACTTATGGTTAGAGATCATTCAACAAACCCTTATTGAACACCAATTATTAAATATCTCTGAATGAGGGGATATATGCAAATATGAGGTTGCCATGAACGTGCTCTCAGAGAGCTTTCAACCCCGAGCCTAAGAGATAAACCATATATATGCAGGTTAAAACAAGGTAAAAAGTGATTGATATTGGCAAGCTGGTGGGAAAATAGGTACTTGCACATACTGCCGACAGGTGTGTAAATTGATAGAGCCAATTTGGAGGGCAGTCTGACACTATTCGAATTAATAATGTGCACCTTCTGTGACCCAGCAATTCATATCTTGGTATGTGTCCTAGAGAAACAGACACATTGTGCACAGATTATGTAATTCCCTGACATTACAGAGTTTTGGTAGCTCTGAACTTGAAAACACCTCATGGCCATCAACAGGGAAAGGCTAAGTAAACTCTGGTATAGCTATCTTCTGGAAAATAAGGCAGCAATTAAAAAGAATGAAATAAGTCTATCTATACTGAGACAGAAAGGTCACCAAGACATAGTATTAATGAAAAAAGCAAATCGCAGAAGCGTACATACTGTATGGTACCATTTATGTGAAAATAAAATTAAATTGAATTTGTAACTAACAAAACTTACATAAATGGGCAAGGAGGGTGTGGAACAAGAAATCCACTAAAAGAGACAAGAATTGGAGGAACTCTTGAGTTGTCATATTATTTATACCCATTTATAACCATGGTTATAATATTTGAAATTTTGAATATATTGCTTGGATAATTAAATACAATTAACAATTTAAAAATGATTGATAATGTGTAATAAAACTCAAAATGTCACAACAATTTTTAAAAGGAGAATAGAATTCTAGGCTGAAAGGGAGGGATTGTGCTAGGGGAAGGGAGACTAGACAGGTAGAAGGAAACCTGATGCAGGCACAGAGCTCCAGCTAGTTCCTCCTCTTTCAACAGAATTATGTAAATTCCCTTGCAAGGCTGAGTCTTGGCCTGCCCTGCCAAAGTTCAGATTGAGGAGTGAACTAAATGAACAATTCACCATTTCTTTCATCACTATGATTCTATAAATGTCTTAAATTAGATTTAGAAGAAAAAAAAAACGAACCAGTAGAGGATGAGAAGTCTAACAACGGTATTGGAAGGTGATGTTTTTAAAAGGATGGGGACTTTTTTTTTCTCCTGGATGCACACTGGGATGTATGTTGGCAATTAGATTGGAGGGAGAGAGAAGTGTTGAGAAGATAATTCGTTTCCTAAAATATATCACAAAAAGAACCCCAAACGGCTTTCGAAAGAAATATTTAAGGCTGGTTTCATTTATTCATTCACTCGCTTAAGGAATATTTACTGAATGTAGATTGTGTATGTAACACTATGCTAGGTGCCATGGGGGATGAAACCTGCAACAGAGTGTAGGAAAACAGTCCCAGACTGGGGTTCGAGAAGTGGGTGTAAGGGTGCTGGTTCTAGATCTGGTCTCACCCAGACTGTGTGGCCATTGACAAGTTGTTTAATGACCACTGCCCCTCCCATGCCACACCTTTTATTGTGGCTGAAATTAGGGGAAACTAAATGATTGATCACTCAAGTCCCTCTCAATCTCAGATTATGATTTTGTGAAATCCTATGATTCTAACATTGTGATGATTATAAATTCTCAGGCAGACGGAATTTGGGAAATATAGGATTAGATGAGGAGGACCCCAAAAGCGCCCAGCCTTGGGAAAAACAAAGTATTCCCTCTCAGGGAGGTTCTCAGTATGTTATATGGCTCTCAGAGTTTTCCCAAGGTTAAAATTTTATTATCACCCTGTTACACCAGTTCCTAAAATCAGTAAGGGAAGTAGAAAGATGTTGCTGAATTTTAAACCTCGTGTTATCGTACACAGAACATGAAGCACTCTAGTTTTCCAGTACAGCTGACCCTTGAACAACATGGGTTTAAGTTGCACAGGTCTACTTATATGTGGAATTTTTAAAATAAATACTGTAAATGTATTTTCTGTCAACGTAAGAATGTCCAAACATGTAGAGAATTTTTTTGAGTTTATTTGAGCCAAACAGGGAACACACCTGGAAACAAGATCTCAACAGACTGAGAAAATGCTCCAGTCACACTTCCTTATGATTTTCTTAATAATTTTTTCTCTAACTTACTTTATTGTAAGAATATAGCATATTATATATATATATATATACACACATATATACATATATACACATATATATGTCATAAAACAAGTGTTAATCGACTTTATGTTATAGGTAAGGCGTCTGATCAACAGCAATCTATTAGTAGTTAAATTTGGGGGAGAAAAAGTTATATGCAGATTTTCAACTGCACAGGAGGTTGCAGCCCCTAACCCCAGCATTGCTCAAAGGTCAACTGTAGTGTTTTTAAAGTGGAGGGACAATGTTAGCCTGCATTCCATGAAAATAACTCTCTAAAACTTTTGTGGAAATGTCAATGGAAATAATAGCCAATGTTTATTAAATGCCTACTACCTGCCAGGTACTGTTCTAAGTACTTTATATGTATCAACCTATTTAATTCTTATTAAGTGTATTAAATAAGATACTTTCATACACATTTTACAGAAAAGAAAAGAGAGGTTAAGAACATGCTCAAGGTCACCTACCACACAACTGATGGATGGTGAAGGTAGGATTCCAGCCCAAACAACTTCACTTCTCAGCCCTATATCCTTAAGTCTGTGTGATAAGAACAAGGAGCTGCCAGCATTCCACTGACTCTCAGATTATTTTAATATTAGTATATGCCAACTTTTATTTTAAAACTCCTTATTTGCATCGCTGTTCTACCTATGTCAGATAAAAGATAAAAGCATCAGATTGAGCCACATACTTTAAACCATCTTGTCACAGTGTCTTAAATGAGATAAATTTGGTGGTTTCTCTGAAGCCTTTAATGTTCTTTTATCCATCTCACCATCCATCATACTTTGCCCGATTTATTTGACTGGCATTGCCAATTTGGACTTGGAATGGAGTAATTCAAGTCAGAATTCTTATGCTTTGACAGAAATGTGTGTGCAAATATGTGTGGGACCATCAGCCTCGGTACGGGGACATGGACTCGAGCTGATTCTGTGATATCAGAAGAATTAGCTACAGCAACCATATTGTTTGGCCCAGAATTGGGGTACATGGTCTGACTAAAGATTTGAGGGTTGTCTCTGGATGAGAGGCAGTCCTGATGATATAGTTTAGATGCCTAAATCTGAGGTGTTCCCATGACTACAGGACAAAATGTAACAAAATAAAATCAAACTTACCCTAGAAAACCCAGGCCCTATGTTTACTGGCCTGGCACTGCTAATAGTATAGACACAGAATTACATGACTTGGTTGTTGTGCTGCCTTCATTGTTCAATAACGCCATCAAAATTAAATAGTGGTATAGACTACATTTTAAAAAAAAAAAAAGAATTCCAAGAGCTTATACAACACACAACATAAACTTTTAGATCGGATGATAATTAACTGGGTTCCCCACCACGGTGCTAAACTTCAAAATTGATTAGTCTTCCAGAAATTCAATGAACTCAAGTGTTGCACTCTTGCTACTAAACTGGATTTTCACCTCAGCTGTTCTGTAGAGAACAATTAGATTATTGTCTTGGGGTGAAGAGGCAGTCCCATAAACAAATAAAGCAGAGTTTCCAGGCCCAGTTTTTCTTTTCTGTGGTTATTATAGGTGATGAAATAGTGACTTCAAAGGAAAGATGTGACTTGATTCTACCCAGTTGTTCCATCTCTATGAATGTAACAGATGGGAGGAGGGGTCAGAAGGAGTGACATTTTGAGCATCTTTGTAGAATAGCAACATCTTTCATGTTGCAGGGGTCCTCAGAGGTCAACTGGTACACTGGTTCTCAGGTGGAGCTCCCCAGAGTCCAGAGTTCCTCAGAGGCCCAAGGCAGGAAAGGAGGGTATCAAGCCATTGAGATTCCCAGGCACCTCCCCTCTCCAACCAACACAGTTCCCCTTCCTTCCATCTGTTTTATATATTACAGCTCCTGAAAGGTTTTATTTGAGCAAAAGAGAGGTTCTGAACAACCAGCTGATTTGCCTAAGGGCCACAGCTCACACACCCTCTGGTCCACTACACCTTCCATTCTACCACTATGATCCCTTCTAGAGGTCTAGCTGGTTCCACCCACAGATGTAATGACACGGTGCGGCTGGTGGTTGCCCTTACTTGGTGCAGCTAATACAATGTGCCAGGGCCCAGGGGCTGTAGGAGACCCACAGAGATGACCAGGGAGCGATACTGCCTGTCACCCGCATGGAACACCGCAACTAAAGCCACAGCTTCGCACTTCCTGAGGACTGACAGTAAAGAAAACAGGGTAGGGAGGAGCAGGCAGGGGGAGGGATGGAGAAAGAGTGGTCCTGGGGCAGCTGTCTCTGCTTAGAGCACAGAATACGCTAGCTTTGAGAGTCCACAACTGGTCCCCAGTTTCCCAGCAGTCATGGACATCTCTGGGGCTACAGCCCACCTGCTCTCTGGTATTGGTACGCTCACTCCCACACCCAAAGGGAGCTCCCGGATCCCCTCACTTCCACCTGAAAAGCTCCTCTTGGCTCAGACAGAGCCAGTGCCCTGCTCAGAAAAGCAAGACGGACCACTGTTTATAGCAATAAACCTCACTACTAACTTGAAACTCAGATTTTGAGGAAACAGAATAGCTTGCCCACTAATCTTATTTGTCAGTTCCCAAAAAGCAAAAAGACAAGAGAACAGGCTGGCCCCAGTGAGGGGTTTTGTTTTTATTTTGTTTTCCATAAATAAATAGATTCAAGAAGATAAACTGGTTCATTTTCTCCTGGGATGCATTGCTGTAATTCTGACTCGAGGAGAACTAGTTATTTTTATTCATTCATCTACGTTCATTTCTCATCCAACTAGTACCCACAGATGGCCAAATATATTTAAAATAGAAAATTCTATAAGGCTAATAAAAAGGAAACACAATGTATGTCAACAGCTTGTACTTTTCTCTTTTAAAAAAGTAGTTCAGGTTCAACAAAGATAAAGTGTGTTAAAAGTCATTGTATACTCCAGTAGCAGCAGATAGCCTAATCTACTCCATATCTGCTCCCATCTTAAATTCTGCTCCCTTTTAGAATGCCCAAGATGGGCACACATTCTCTGCCTCTGAATTATAAAGAATGTACTGGCAGTTGAGCTTCCCGCTAGATCATTTCAGGACATGACTTGAAATACTTTTTAAAAAGGGAATGATTTGTAATCCAATGGTATAATTTAAATAAATCGGGTTCATGCTTGGTTCTAACGTTCATGGATGGTTAATTTGGTTAATTTGATCCACGTGTCACTTTGATGAAATTGCATTTGATAGAGCTCTTTACATTATAAATAGTTAATGTGCTTTAACAGATATGATGATAAAATTATTGACTATTCTCATTCACTTAAAGGTGGCCTTGGAAGAAAATGGTTTGGAAAGTATTACTTGTACAATAATGATTTGCCCTTGGAGTTCATAAATGGAAGTGTAATAGAGCAAGTGATTTAGCTAGTATTACTGAAAATGGTTTTTACAGCTACAAAATAATACTAACAAACTATTATTATTTTAATACAGTACTTAGGGTAACACACCAAAATATATTAGAATTCTACTAGTTGTAAGCCTAAGAGATTTTTTCATACCCTTTAAAAATGTATTTCTATACATAGTTAATGTATTTATATTGAATTCCCTTATGTCCTACCTAATTTTATTTAATTTCATTTTATTCTCTCAAAGGATAATTTCCATCTGACAGAGTAAAGATGCTTCATTGCAGTGTCTACTTTGTTTTTTCATAAATATTTACAATATAAAATATTCTGAAGCATGATACTACAGATTAGGGAAATAGCATGGGGACTAAAAATGAATAAGTTGAATACATTTTGACAATTTTAAAATGGTAAACGAATCCATTAGGGGATGACACTGAATTTCATGTTCATGTACACTTCAAAGTTCTTTTTAAATTTATTCCATCATTAAAAAGCTATAAGACCTCTTATTTTTAGATGTAAAATAGTATACATATGAAAGCATTTTGATTTGTATACTTCTACAGAGAATAATCTCAAAGAGAACTTTATTTTTTAATTAAAAATGATTGGGGTGACATAGATTAATAACATTAAATAAGTTTCAAGTGTACGACAGTATGTCATATATATATTGCATTTTGTGTTCACCACCCAAAGTTAGATTTCCTTCCGTCACCAAATATTTGACCCCTTTAACCCCTATATCTTCCCTCTCCCCCTTTCTCTCTGGTAACCAGTAACCCACTGTCTGTGTCCATAAGTCTCAAAGAGAACTTTAAAATAAGCTGTCTTGTAATTCCAAATCCTTTGTCAAGGTGGATCGTCAGGCCAGCCAAACCTCACCTGTGATAGGCTGGCCTATAATGATTGCTCTCAGTCTCGACTGACTACTCTCTCTTTTTTAAAAGCCACTTTGCAGAAGCTTGACAACAGAAAAAAAAAATAGTTATTTAAATCAGGATTGCTGGCAGCTTCTAATGGACCACCTTGCTGATTGTCTAGAGTTTGTTAAGCTCCTCATCGGTTTACATACAATAAAAATTTCAGGAAGTTGCGTGATGCCTGAAAAAGATGGTTTATTCTTCATCAGCTCTTTATGCTTGGGAAAGAACTGATTTAAATTAAAAGAAAATATTGGTCTAAGGAAACCAGACTATTTTATCTTTGTGAAAGCAGTCAGTGTATTAAGTAAAGTTTGCTGCTCCCACCAACAGTAGTTCATTCAATCAGGATTAAGATTTTTTCTTTCTTTTCTCTCCTCCCAGAATTACAGTATAATTTTAAATATTGTTTATAGGAACTCCGTATGTGCTACAATCATACAAATACACGCTGAATTTGATTCTATTATATTAATGAGTCTTATACAATCTCTTGCTACAAAATTTTATATTCCTCAATTATCTCAAGACCAATTAGTTACCAATGACTCACCTGGTGATGAAAGTGATCTAAATTTTTCAATATGACATTATTATTCAATTATAAAACAGTTGAGATTTTTCTCTTTGTCAGCATACACATTTCTAGGCTAATTCCCAAATGACGTTTGTTAAGATGTTAAATTAAAATGACACTTTGAGTTTCCAGTTCAAAATGAGGGACTGAACATGTGTTTTCTAGCTCTGGAGCCCCCCAAAAATAATGGTAAAGAAATACAAAGAAAATAAACACTTAATAACAAAGGGGCAGGGGCTGGTATTGGTCATCAGCAGATAGGAGATTTCAGCAAATTTCTGGAAGACTGAAAGTGCATGAAACTGTGGACAACATCACAGGGAAAGCCACAGCTAAGAATTAGAGCACAAGGGAGCTGCGCTAGAGTGGGAAGTGGGGAGTCAGTGACGGTCTGTCTCCAGAACAGCTAGATGAGTCCTCCTCTCTCCCTCCTCTATTCCTAGTAGAGTTTCTGGCAATCTGGCATTTATTCCTCAAACTAACAATCCAGATGTCCTTTCTAACGAAATTGAACAACTACATATTAGGTGTAGAACTTCTAGGATGAATATAGCTCCAAAAAGTAAAGCTCCTTCATTCTGGCATTCAGAGGTTCTCAGTTGCCA